TCTAAATTCAAAAGATAACACTAGTGTAATTGATATGGGACAATTTAGTGTAAGTTATATTGGGCAGAGGAGCAATTCATTAGTGTTTTATTCAATTCAAAAATTTTGTGTAAATTATGTTTATTTGAAAAGTGAGCATTATGTATACAATTACAGATAAAACTTTTTTATCTAATTTACCCTTATAAAAAAAACTAAATATTTAACCATAATAAAAAATATATTACTATTTGCAACATTAGTATCGAGAAATGATTGATCACATTCAAGAAACTTGGTGTTTAATTAATTTTGCAATGGATTTGGTACGCGGTTTAAAAGAAAAATCAGAAGTAAAAGTTAATCCTAGAAGATGAAGGGTAGATGACTCATCTAGTACATTACCATTCATAAATATAGGAAGATCTAAATTATTGCAATAACGATTGGCCGAAAAAAATTGAGTTTTATCTGAAATAAAGTTCACCAGCCATTGTGAGCCCCATGCTGTAGCAGAGGTGAGATCCTTTTCAAGGTCAGATACCCCCTCCAAGCAAGCAGAGAGTGTAGGCTTCTTATCATGACAAGAATAAATAGTAGTGTCGTCAGCGAACAATGCCACCTTACATGTGATAATATCTGGAAGATCGTTAATGTAAATTAAAAAGAGTATAGGGCCAAGGATTGAACCTCGAAGAACCCCTGACGTTACAGGATATGAAGAAGATATATATATATATATATATATATATATATATATATATATATATATATATATATATATATATATATATATATATATATATATATATATATATATATATATATATACAATAGAAATATAGGTTTGCAATCAATCAAAGGACTATATAATTTCTTTAATAATAAGTATAATCCATTTACTTTAATAAAATTTCCTAGATGATAAAAAAAAAAGGAAAAATTAAGGAGTGTTTCTCATCGGTTACTTAGTAAATTGCGAATAACATTCCAACACGTGATAAAGTGGTTATTCATATGTTAATAAAGTTATATAAGAGACAGGTGGGTGAAAAATTTCTTTTAGAGTAAAGGAAATTTTCTACCCTCCTGTCTCTTATATAACTGTTACGACTGGTTTAATTTTTTCAATTAGACTTATTTTTTAGTCAAAACTTTTGAACTTCACTTATAACTAATTACTTAATTACTTAAAGTTAAGTAATTGGTTATTAGCGAAGTTCCAAAACTTGATATTGTAATATTTCAAAAAGTTCATTAACTAATGTACTGGTCCAAATATTTTGAATAGAACAATCTAAAAATTAAAGATATTGAATTTTTAGGTTAGGTTTTCCTTTTAAAAAATATGACTATGCATGAGATTCTGCGATGTCTAAGTCTTTCAAACAGTCAGAACTTGGTACTACTCTTGATGTAGTATATTAGCAAGAACCTGTCTATAAGTTGCTTTTCATAAGGTGTTTTTAAAATTCTCATTGAATCTTTGGGAAGTTCCAAACTTCAATTAGCTATGTTGAATATAGCTAATTGAAGTTTTTCCCATTAAACTAATTTGTTTTATTGCTCAGCATGCTAATTTGTTTTCAGAACATAATGTTTTGAAAACAAATTAGTATAATGAACAGCCCTAATATACATAGTATAGCATATATTCAGTTTTAAACCGTTTCTTTCATTATCTGTAAAAAATTCATTACCTGTATCAATATTACCACAATTTTCAAGTAATTGATAACAAAAACAAAAATTAGATGGAACGTGTCTATTAGTTGTTGTAAAAAGACTTCTTTTGTAATTGAAAAACAACTTTATTAAAAATGCGTTACTTAAAAATTTTAAGAAGTTTTAGCGCTTCCGTGTTTTAACTGATTTTTTTTTATTTAATAAAGCATTCTGGATATTTTTTGGACGAAAAACTTATTGGACGCGAAAAAGACGTTCAAAAGACGTTTAGAATTATAATGGGACGCACGGACGCGATTTGAACGTCCTAAGGACGTCTTTTTTACGTCCTGTGCCCACTGGGATATATATATATATATATATATATATATATATATATATATATATATATATATATATATATATGTATATATATATGTATATATATATATATGTATGTATATATATATATATATATATATATATATATATATATATATATAGGGAATGTCTCAGCATTGCATCGCTACATTTGGTTTTATCGGTTGTATGTCCGACAAATAAACTATGTCGACCGGCACAGTTGACAGCATCAATCACAACATTAAGCAGTTATGTAAGTACAAATCGGATGCCGTTTACTCTTTTAAACAGTTCTGCTCTTCAAATAACAACAGCGAAAAATGACGAGCATTGCCTCCAGAAATGCTATGCCTTATCAACTTGCGTTTCTATTAATGTTTTAAGTAACATCTCTGCAAATATGGAAATAGAATGTCAACTTCTTGGTGAACAATCTTACTCGAATAAAAACAAACTTGTTTATCAAGCAAATTCAACCCACTATACAACACTGGTAAGTTTGTACAACAGTTTTAAATTTAAAGCTATTTTTCAACTTTCAAAAAATAAATTTACATTTTTCCACAAAAAAGTGCATAAAAAGTACGAAAGAACGTCAACAATTTAAAATCGTAAATGAAAAGATTTTTTTGTTTAAAATGTTGGCAAAATAGTTAAGTCTTTGATTTAACTTACATCAAAAGTTTTTAAAAAAAAATCTAGCTATTTAGTTTTTAACGTTCATTTAAATTGATGATAATTGATTGGGTTAAGAAAATTGTTTTAACGTTTGTTAGTAATTGACTATTTGTACCATTCATTGAAGCTTTTTATGAAACATTATTATTATGTTTTATGAAAAACTTTAGGCTGAATTTATGAATATTAATTTAATTAATTTTTTAAAATTTAAAAATAAACTTAAAAGGTAAAAAAAGAAAGGCAATCTGAACTGAATGTCTAGTGTCTGGAAGCTTGTAAAAGATTTTCCATCGAACGGGATTGCAGCTTAAAACAAAAAGATTTTAAACTTTTATTTATTTATTAAAATAATCAATGAAACTTATACATAATTTTGATGAAGGAAAACAACAACAGACTAATATATGCTTATTGGGGACCGGCAAAGTCGACTTTTAAAGACTCGAGTTGATATGAAAGGCGAATTTATATGCATATACCGAATTTAACTGAAAGACAAATTTAAGTCGTATTCTTACCAATGCACAGTGGTGCAGAACTTCAAAAAATGGCCATAATTCAAAATTTTTCGAAACTTTATAAAAACATTTTTTTTTTTTTAATAAATTATGTTGCTTATATTATATATCTAAAAATATATAGTTTTGTTATTTTTGTTCATTAACAGAACCGCTAAATGGATTATAAAGACGTCATTTTTGTAATAAATTTCCATTAAAAAGATACAAACGTTTTCAACGCAATTTTTTTTATTTATTATTAAATTTTTTTTGTTTTTTTTTTTGTCAGAATTTTTAAGATATATTATATTCTACGTCAAAAAAGTTTCACCTCATTAAAGTTAAAATTTTTTTTTAAAAATTACTCTAAAAAATGCTAAAAAATGCAACATTTTGTAATTTTTAATTTGTTGTTTGTTCAAAAGACATCCTATTCAAGCTAATCTAATACAATCTTTATTAAGTTCAGGTTACGGTTATATCTCGTTAAAAAATTCAGCTGCATATATTCATGCATTATGATTAATTTTTAGCTGCTAACATGCAACCTTTTTTATGCTCTAATATTTTTAAAGTATATAATTCGTTTACAAAGTATACAAATGCAAAAAATTTTAAAATTTTTATAAACACTAACAATATAATGTTGCTAGGTTAAAAAAAATTTACTTTTATGTTTTAAATTCATACACACGTTTATTTTTTAATCGTAAAAATTTTTCAAAAAAAGACATTTTTTTAATGTGTTTTATATATAGCGCAAGAGGGACAAAAACATTTTTAAAATAATTTTTTTTTACTGCCAATGGTAGGGTAGATTAGGGTAATATGAGCATACTAAAAGATTTATTAGATGTAAGCAGTGAAGTTAAAGTTGCTTTATGTTTTTTGAATCGACTTTATGTGGTGATAATTAAAACGCTTTTAAATTTTTTGCTTTGTTAAAAAAAATCATCACGCGTGAATAATTCTGTGGCGCGATATTTTGGTGCTAAAATAATGAAATTAATTTTTTCATAAAGAAAAATATATTAGCTAAAAATCCAATTCATTTTTGTTTGAAAAATAATGCATAGAAACATTTATTTTTGACTTTATTTAAAGATACCATTTTTGTGTAATATGAGCATGCTCAAATTACCCAGTGCTTTTCATTGAAATTGCTTAGTTTTAAGTCCTAAAATAGCAGTGGTTTTTAATTGCTTCTTGAATAATAACAAAACAGTAAAAAATTTTAATATATTAACAATACTAAATATTTTTCTGTAACTTAAATCTAAAAAATTTTAATTTTTATTGTTCAAAGGTTTGAGTTAACAAAATTGAAAAAACAATGTATTACTTTTTTTTGGCGGAAAACATAGTAGTATTGTTTCAACAAAAAGTAGTTTAAAATTTGATCTTTCAATGATATGTTTTGTTAATCACGAATCCTTATATTTCAACAATTAGTTCTATTAAGCAGGTTGGTCTTTTTTTACTTAATTAATGCTATTTTTTTGAGCTAATTTAAAGTGCTCATATTACCATATTAATTTAAAGTGCTCATATTACGAGCACTTTTGCTACTTTTTTAAAACCTCTGTGTTTTTAAGAAAAAATGTCAAGTGCCCAAATATCTAAATAGATTATGAATAGGGATCCCTAAAAATTGTTTATTTGCAAAAACTTTGGATCCAGCATATTTATTTTTGAAAATATTCCAATTTTTGCTTAAGGGTGCTCATATTACCCTAATCTACCCTATATGACAGTCTTAAAAAAATTCAGCTAAAGTTAATAAATTTTATAGATTTTATAACAACTTTAATTGACGAGTACCTTTAATGCAATTATCGATTTTTAAAAACAATTTTTTGGAATCCTTTTATTTATTTCCTTAGAAACTAATTTTCTTTTTTAAATAGGTATAAGAAAAGATATATGGTAAAAAAACAAAAAAATATTTCTAAATTTAGATAAAATTAAAATTTATGAAATTATTTGTTTATTTAAAAATATTTATTAATAATAATAATAGTAATCAGGCAAATCAACGTCACTATTTTTAAAGTCTTTAAAAACAATTCGCTAAAAACAGCGCTTTCATCTTCGGTCTCTTCTTCTTTGTATGCTTCTTCTTCCTTATCTTCGTCTGTATTACTATCTTCAACTAGTTTATTTATTTGGTTTGGTATTTTGTCATCTTCATATTCGCAAACACTTATTAGATCATTTTGTTTTCCAACTTTACTAATTTCTGGTAATTCTACTAGTGAAAGCATTTCGTTAGTAAGTTTTTGTTTATTTGTCATTACCTTGTTACTATTTTCAATAATTGTTGAAATAATGGGATCACTTGTTTCCAAACATTTATTAAGCATATCTCGGTTTGTCAATACTCGGCTCATTTTTCTGGAATATTTATTTCTACATTTCTTAAACTCTTTCATTCTTTTTTCAGCTGGATCTTCAGATAAAACTCCAAAAATCCAAGCAATCCTGGCAGATGAATATTTGACATAATTTGAACGCTGTGGACCAGCAGTTTATGCACTGAAACTGGCATGAAAAACCAATTATAAGAAGCAACATACCTTTCAAAGGTTGCTTTGCAGTAGGTTTTAAATATAGAAAATTGATCTTTATATTGGAGTTTATGACACTTAATATAGAGTAAAAGCGGCGAATCAATTCGACATCAACCCCGGTAACCTTGCTAAATATTTGGTAATTTTGAAATGCTTTTCGCGAGGTATTATTATCATTAGTTGTACCACCACCACCTTCTTTTGGTATGTCAACAAGAAGACCTAAACGTTTTTGAAATTCAATTTGAATGCAATGTTTTTGATTTGAAGCCAATATTCTGTGGTCTTGATCTCGAATTTGCTAAGTCTTGAAATCAAGGTGATATGCAATATGAAGTATGCATTCAAAACAATGAATCCAGGCATGCAAAGTTGATAAACCTAGCTGAAGACTGTCTTTATTAACAGTTTTTTCTTTTTCGCAAAGTATTGAGTTCATTTGTTTTGGTGTTGCCAAACAAATGTTGCACAACGCTGAAGATTTTTGACCGGATATGGCATTAGCAGCTTTGCCGTCTATCATGGTAAGCACCAGATTATACTTAATTCTAAGCTGAATTAGTTCGTTTTGCACATTTAGTAAGCTTACTATTGTGTCTCTTAATGATGCCATTTGATTCTGTATATACTCTTTTTCTTCTCGTAATAAATTAGAGTCTTCTTTTTTGAACTGCAGCCTAATTGGCATACAAAAACGAGAAGACGAAGCTTTGTGATTTCTCCAAATTGAACTAGACGGTTTGCCAGGAGACATTAATGTATTCTCAAAAGAAAGATCAAGTGGAACAAATGTTGTTGCAAATATGTGCTTATCAGAGCTGCTATCGTCCAAATAAAATTGCTGTTTGTACATACTTTCCAGATGCACCGTCCAGATGCACCGTCAAAGCCCCATTTCCCGCTTAGAATTAATGTTTTACCAATTATTTCAACCAAGTTTTTAAGTTTAGATTGCACTTGATCTAACTGCAGTAATCAACAACTTGTATAATTCAGCAAATCTTGCAATGGTACCTTGCATTTTGACTCCGTAACAGTTATATTCTTAGGATAGCATAGTTGTTTAGCTTGTAGTACTTTGCGATAGCTTGGATAAAGTACAGCATTATTCTTCTTGGCATTGTTTCTAAGCTTTTAATAAGCATTTCTAGTCAAATCTGTCGAGATCATCAATGCAATAGAATCCTCAGGAGTCAATGATGATTTAAAATTAGGCTTTAAGTCACGTTTTAAGAACTCGACAATACTTGTTGCACTTGATGGTTTTTCTTTTAAATGCATTAGAACGTATGCCAAATCAGGTTTTTGCATTGCTTTAGCAGCAGCCGATGCAGCAAATAAGAGCTTTTCAATAGAGGTAGTTTTTGATAAACTATATGAAGCTCGCCTTTTAGTACAATGTGCTTTCTCATCCCAGCATTTGTCCTTTGGACCTTTATAAAAAAAATTATCAAAAACATACTTACAAACATTGTTATAAAAATATGCTTATAAATAAATTACATTTACGAATACTACTTATAAACATAAAATTAATTGTTTAAAAATAAAAAACCTCTTTTTTTTTGTTTGAGTCATCGAGAGATCTCGAAATACTGATAGATGAAGAAGGATAAAAAGCACTGTTTCTTGCAGCAATCGATTTTTTGACTAAAAAACCCTTGAGCCAATTGAACTCGCACTTTAAAAAGCGGGATTTGGAACGTTTGTATTTGATTATTTTGAATTTGCATTGGTTAATG